AGTAAAATAGTAAAATTGTAAAGTAGTAAAGTAGTAAACTAGTAAAGTAGTAAAGTAGTAAAGTAGTAAAGTAGTAAAGTACTAAAGTAGTAAAGTAGTAAAGTAGTAAAGTAATAAAGTAGTAAAGTAGTAAACTAATAAAGTAGTAAAATAGTAAAATAGTAAAATAGTAAGGTAGTAAAATAGTAAAATTGCAAAATAGTACAATTGCAAAATTGTAAAATTGTAAAATTGTAAAATTGTAAAATTGTAAAATTGTAAAATTGTAAAATAGTAAAATAGTAAAATAGTAAAATAGTAAAATAGTAAAATAGTAAAATAGTGAAATAGTAAAATAGTAAAATAGTGAAATAGTAAAATAATAAAATAAAATAATATAAAATAATAATTTTAAAAAAGGAAAAGAACAAAAACAGAAAGAAAAGAACAACGTACAACGAAACAGAGCTTGTACGAATTGCTGACGAACCGAAACGTTTGTCGAGGGAGCAACTGAATGCGATTTGAAGAGTCGCCGGAGCGATTGTCCAACTTAAATCCCGTACGAGCTATCGCGGTCGGGATTGCTTTTCGAGAGAGAGTCGCCAGCGTGCTCTCGTTAGAGAGTACTCTCCCTCCCCCCTTTCCTTCATTCTCTTTTCACTTCATTTTTCCTGATTCCTCCAGCTCGCTTTCCCCGAGTCCATCTATCAGACGGCCGGATTATTTTCACTGACCTCGGACGTTTCAGCCTTAAAGTTCCTTAATGGTTTCCCCAAGTTACCGCCAGTGGAATCTGATTGCAACCGATAATGAGGTTTCCGCGAATCGCGGACGTTGTAGTCGCTTCCTGGAAAATAAGGAAAAGTTATGGCGGCTGGGGGATGAAAAGTACGGAATCAGCCGCGGCCGATCCCTGTCGCGATGACTCTCCTGGCGATCGAACTCGTTGAAGATGGCTAATAATTCGTTTCTTCTTTACTTTACTGCAGAGTTGGGCATACTTCATTCGAACAACGAATAATCAATAACGAATAAATCTGTCAAATTTATTCGAACAAATCTTATTCGAACATACAGTTGGGCATTATTCGAATAAAATTTTATTTGAATGACATTTCGAATGAATTCTTCGAATAAAATTTTATTCGTATAATATTTCGAATAAATTCTTCGAATAAAATTTTATTCGAAATATTTACTGAACTAATGTAAAGAAAAAGAGTCGGGAGTTCTTTTTTCACAATTTTGGTTTATTTAATAAATTTGCTTTGCTTTTAATATTTAATAAAGCGGATCCATTTCAACCAACCAACATTTACAAACGAATGTTAACGTAGAATTTCTTGTACTACAATATTTTACAGATAATAGAAATGATTACACATCTCTGAACGCATATCCCATAATTAAAAATATATTTTTGAAATATAACGTTCTTTTGCCATCTTCTGCTTCAATAGAGCGTTTGTTTTTATTTGCAACAATTTGTAATAAATTCGCCTAAAGCAAACAATTAACCAACAAAATGTTCGAACAAAAAATTGTACTAAAAGCAAATTTATTAACTAAATCAAAATTGTGAAAAAAGGGCTCCTGAATCTTTTTCTTTACATTATTTTAATAGATATTTCGAATAAAATTTTATTCGAAGACTTTATTCGAAATATTATACGAATAAAATTTTATTCGAAGAATTTATTCAAATAATGCCGGACTCTGCTTTGCTGCATCGAAATTGATGTCTAAATTTTTATTCCTACGACTTTGATACGTATTTTGGGATCGAAAGTAATTTATTCGTTATGTAATAATGATAACAATAATAATTATTTTATAATTGTAATAAATTGCTTTATTTTAATAATAAATTTATTACACGATAGTGATAAATATTTATTATCGATTATTTATATTCCTGTGATTTTAATTCAACATAGTTAGGATTGCATATGCGTTATTGATTACATTTGTTTCTATGATTTTCAATATATATCTAGGATTGAATATGTGTTATTCATTATATTTATTATTGATTACACTTATTTTTGTGATTTTAGTTAAACATAGTTGGGATTTCACATGTTTTATTGATTATATTTTGCTATTGGTTATATGTTTCCTAATATATATTTAGGATTAAATATATTTCATCAGTTGTATTTATTCTGTAATATTAAATCAGTAACCCGACTATGTCTCCCACAACAGTTTCGTCCTCATGGACGTGGATTTATTTCAATACAACTTTTTTAATTCTTCGAATAAATAAATAAATAATTTGTTTCGATACACTTATCTTATAGCACACGATGAGTAACTAAAAGTTCATTGTTTTCTTATAACGGAAAATGTTATATAAAAATGTTCTGTGAACATTTTTGTATCGATACAAACGCAAAATTTAAATGACCAAAATCATAATCTATGAATTTATGAATACAGGTTATGAATACCGATGAAAATTATAGTTCCTCTTATCTAGTTTTTATCCTCTTATTGGCGTTAAAAAATAAATTTTTATTCACTGGTATTAGAAAAGTATTGAAACATTTATTAATTATAATAATTTATTTATTAAAAAACAAATTTTATTTGGGAAATTATTTATTATTAAAATTAAATTATTTATTTATTAAAAAACCAATTTTACTTGGGAAATTATGCACCGAGGAATGAAAACATTTGTTTTGTTTTTTCTCAAACAACACGATATATAATAAAAGATTTGCAATACGAAAAAAGATAGCATTTTAAATTTAATAAAAAGAAGCAAGTGTATTCACATTTCACATTTAAAGGTAAAAAAGTTTATATTAATTTGCTACATATGTTTGCAAAGAACGCTGTCACAATATATGAAATATCTTGTTACAAATAGAAAGTGTTTGCGTTAAAATGTACTTGTTCGCAAATTTTCATATTCCTTTGGTTCATCGTCACATATTTTCATAATAAGAATATATTCATAAGAAAATCGAAGTTTTATATGCACAGGACATTTTTATTCTTTTGCATGCAATCAAATTGAGGCACCCAAGTTAACAATTGATTTATATTTAATTCATAATGTAAGTGATGGAATAATTGACAAATTGTAATTTATGTTTTATTTTTATAAAAAGGAAAAAGTATATATTACTGCTTGTAAAAAATATATTATGTAAAATTATTACTTTAAAATATCAATATAAAATTGGAGTAATCGACATTTTCTTTTTTTTTTTTTTTTTGTATAAGAAAATAATGTGAATAAATTTATAATTTTCACTCAGAAGAAAATATTGATATTTATTGTTTTTATATATTTAAGATTCAGAATATATTTCTATATGATTTAGATTATATTTTAAGATTATATTATGTTTCATACAAAAAAAAAAAAAAACAAAAGAAAACAAGATATATATGTGTACTTATTTTACATTCTTTGGAAAGAAAGTAGCAAAAATTTTACATCATCGTTGATTTTTTACATTTCTGCATTTCATCAAATTGCGCAGCTAAATTTTTGCAAATTCAACGATTGTCTAATTTATTCTTCGTTCACCGGTCTTTGTTCATTTGATCGTGGCACTTATTCGATATTTTCCCCCTTTAGGGCATTCCAACTTTGATCATCGCCGTGTCTGGAATCGATGACGCAGCATCAGTGGCCATCCACGGGATAGTGCAGAGCATCATGTTCTCCGATGACGCACTCTGGTACCAGATCCTCCAGGGCCCCATCTCCATTGTCGGAGGTCTTGGGTTTGGAGTTCTATGGGGCTGGCTGGCTAAATACGTTCCGGAAAAGGGAGACGTGAGTACACCAATTTTTAGTCACGATTGTTTTTACAACATTTTACGACATTTCCGCCGTATTTAATAAAATGTTGGACGATTGAAAAAGTTCGTAGCCGACATTCGCAAGTGTTTCATTTTCACATGAATCATCAAAATATATTGTAATATTATTTAAATATTATTCAGATAATATGACAATAAAATATATTGTCATATTATTCAAATATTCAAATAAAATATCAAAGTGTTTTATACAATAAGACCATGTTTAACGCAATCACAATTAGCTCTGAACGCTGTTGTTTCTTCCAAATTTTAAAAGAATTCCAAATATTTCATGCATCGATATAATGCAATTGTAATGCAATTGTAATAATATATAATATATAACATACAGTAATATATAATGCGATATAATGGTATAATCATCAGCAAAAGATCAAAAATTTCAGAAGTACTACACTCTCTGATAAAAATAAATTTTTTGTATATACGTACCTATTTTTTTTTCTTGTTTTTCTGTTTCTGTTTGAAAAACAAAATATTCTAATTGTATGGAAATCTAGAAATTCTATTTCTAGGTCTTCTAGTTTAAAACGTTAGTTCTTTCAATTCAAGATTAATCCGTTGTTATTGTTTCTATTTTAAAAAAGAAACTCTCTGTTTCAAAAAAGAAATTTTCTTTTAAAATTTGAATTTTAATTTGAAACTCCAATTTATCTTTTAATATAAGATTAACCTCTTCGTTGCTATGGTTTCTGTTGTGTCTAATTCTATAGAAATCTAGAAATTCTAAAAGATTAACCTGTTCGTTATGCTTTCTATTTTTAAAAAACGCATATTTCTAGTTTTCTTTCCAAACTTGAATTTTAGTTTGAAATTTCAATTCTTTCAATTGAAGGTTAATTCTGTTGTTATTTAAGAGCAAATTCTAGTTTGAAACTTGAATTCTTTCAGTTAATTAATCCCTTGTCACTTTATGAACAATTTTTGTGACACGAGATATCTCGTTCATAACATACTTAATAAGTGTACATCTATATCTGACATAATGTAAAAAATTATAATAACTAACGTCTGTCAAAGAAAATTGAAAAGAAGCATAGGATTAAAATCTATACTATATTATATATACTTATGATCAAAAATCTTGGGACGCATTTAATATTTCTAATATTTATCGTCAGGTTTTCACAAAATTTTTCAATTGCACGCATATTTAGTACGATTCTTAATATATTAATATTTTGCAGATACTTTGTTGCATAAAGTATTATTTAATGTTTCCAATTTTTAAACAATACTTGCCTCAAGATTTCTGAGCAAGAGTTTATATTTGTGTATACCTTTTTTTCAATAGCTATGCCTATCAAAAAAGATGAAAAAGAAAATTTTTACAAAGCAAATGGTTAGAAATCTAACATTTATCACCCACCTTATATACATTTGTCTGTAACTGATGTAATTCCAAAAATTAATTAGATAAAAAGAATAGTGTTTGTTTAAGCAGGCAGGACAGTTTGACGGGTCAAAAAATTACGAGTACTTTGGAAGGCTAGTAAAAAAAAGTATATATTTGATTGACACGACCTTTTGTGGTTTATTTTAACATATTATGAACTATAAAAAGCAACATTAAAAGAGAAAAGAAGAGAGCTCTTATTTCACTTTTTAACGACATCCTTTTACATAACTTTTTTTTTACATTGCCTATCGGTGTGCATGATTCCAGCTAAACAGGATTAGTTGCGACAAAAAGGTAAAAAAAGTTCAAAAGTAAACAATATTCTCTAGGGACTGACTATCCAATATTTTGATTTTTGTGAAACTTTTAAAAATAACAGCTATTTGTTTTTCATGTATCGAATATTTTCATGTGCCAAAATTTTTTACATTTTTTGTTTATATTTTTCGAAATTGTTAAAAATTAAAAAATTTTCGATCGTCAGTCCCTAGTAAATGTTACACTAAAGTTATGTACCAAGTTTGACGGTAATCGTTTGGTTAGATACCGAGATATCTTGCACACCGTTTCTAAAAACCTAGTTTCGAGAAAAACGCGTTTAAAGTTATAGAATCACGTCATTTTTCATACGTATCCTTTACTTACTTTTTTCACTTATATACCGCGGCTCACAGCTCTTACAATTCACAACTAAATTGAATCCCTAATATTCGATTCACCAAAAGTAATATTTGAGTCACACGATTTACACTTTATAATACTGCTTAAAGTTGTAAACATTATTGGATTTATTATTGTACCCCAAAATATGTCGTTTTAAAGGTTAGGACCTTTAGTATCTTATTTCTAAGACTTCAAATTACTATTTAAAAAAAAAAAAAATTAATTTTTTAAAATTTTCAAACTGTCCTGACCTCTTGAAAATCATTTATCGTCACATGGTTAACGAAAAGCTGAGTGATATAATAAATCCTTGACCTATCACATTACGAATTTTTAAAAAATGATGAAAAAATAAAAGGAGAGGTCCGGCTCTGCAAATGTTCAATCCCGGATGTAAAGTTTGTTGCCAGAATTGATTAATTCGTGTATCGGGTCAGATTGATCGCGTGTCCGATCCTTGGTATCCGATTATGGTAAGGAGATTTGCTACGAAATCCTGGAAAATGTCTGGGATATCTAATAGGTCTCTTAATCTCGATGAGGTTGTTCATTGGATGTTGAAACATCGTTTCGTTTCGTCTTTCTGACGAAGTGAAATGAGAGAGGAAAAAAGGAAAAAAGAAACAGAGATCGAAGCTGCAGATCAGTCGAAAACTTTGTTTTGCTTTCGTATAAATTTCGCTTGCGTCGTTCTTGCAAAAATTGCAGAGGAAATGGTCACGGTTATGACTTTTTTCGCTTTTTCCTCGTTCCCGATTCTCGCGCGGGATGTTTGCTTTTTTCCCCCCTGTTTCGCTCGTCGAGAAGCGTGAAGCAGAATCGGAGCGCGTATTCGGTGTCAATCTTCGTGAGGGAATATTTATTGGAAACATTTGACTCCATGAAATTTTTGCAGCGATCTCGAAGCGAACTTTTCTGGCGAACGTTTTTCCCAACGCGTGCGACGACGTGATGCTCGAAATGATTACGAACTGTTTTTTAGAATCAAATATTTATTTTCTTGTATTTCATCGAAGAATAACAATTATTATTAGATATAGGAAAGATACACAGAATGGGTACAAGAAATATTAGCACATCTAGTTTTTTTTGGCGATATTTTTATGAAGACAAGTGTTATATTAGCATCTGTTTTGATAAAATTACGTAAATGATTGAGAAAACCACCAGTAAAAAATTCAATGGAAGCTGCTTTAATCAGTTAATAATATTTTATTAGTATTTGCTATTAATATATATAATTATGTTTATAATGTATATTGTATACTATATATATTATAATGAAAATAAAAAATAACGTTTTCTGCGATTTTTTGTGACTTTTAACATAAAACTAATTAAACACTGTTAATAGGTAATAAATGATTATAAGCTTAGGATTTCAATTTTGTTAATCTCCGAGAATGTCCATAATTTTTTACGTATTAAATATTTTAACACATCAAAGACCAGTTGTTCCAGTTAATTTATTATATCAATACAAGTATTACATAATGAACTTTCTACTAGAAGCTCGGTCTAATCGAACTCTGCCAGACAAACTAGATGTACCAAATTACATGTCCTCTGAAAATGAAAAAAGGAGACATTCTTTGAATAATGAATAGTTTCGAAGCTAATGGCATTTATAGATTAAAAAAGGACACTTGTATATACTCAGACGAGTATTGTGGCCGTGATATTCTTAATCTCTTGCGCTGGATTGACATGCCACGTACGTCGAGAAGTTTTTGTCTCAAAATTGCAATATTTCCTCAATTTTAAGTATATTTAAGTATAACCCAGGCAAAACAAATAATAAATTTATTATTTTTCAATAATTTCTATCCAGTGATATCACCGACGAGTTCAAAAAGGAAGCGACGAATTATTGTATATGGTTTGGTTACTCGTTATGGTCCACAATCAGTGGTTAGGGGGGTCAGGATAGTGAAATTTTCAAAAAATTGATTTTTTATTTTGTTTTAGTAGTTTAAATAGTAGTTTAGTGTCTTAGAAATAAGATACAAAAGGTCCTAACCTTTAAAACGACATATTTTGGGGTACAATAATAAATCCGTGGATACAAAATAATTGAATTTGTATCGCTGTTTACAACTTTAAGCAGTATTACAAAGTGTAAATCGTGTGACTCAAATATTACTTTTGGTGAATCGCATATTAGGGATTCAATTTAGTTGTGAATTGTAAAAGCTGTGAGCCGCGGTATATAAGTGAAAAAAGTAAGTAAAGGATACGTATGAAAAATGACACTTCTGATACTTTAAACGCATTTTTCTCGAAACTAGGTTTTTAGAAACGGTGTGCAAGATATGTCGGAATCTAACCAACCGATTACTGTCCACAAACTTGGTACATAAGATTAGTGTAACATTTACTAGGGATTGACGATTGAAAATTTTTTAATTTTTAACAATTTCGAAAAATATAAACAAAAAACGTAAAAATTTTTGGCACAAATTCGATACATGAAAAACAAATAGCTGCTATTTTCATAATTTTCACAGAAATGAAAATGTTGGATCGTCAATCCCTAGAGAATATTGTTTACTTTTGAACTCTTTTTGCCTTTTTGTTGCAACTAATCCTGTCTGGCTGGAATCATGCACACCGATAGGCAATGTAAAGAAAATAGTTATGTAAGTGGATGCCGTTGAAAAGTTAAATAAGAGCTCTCTTTTTTTCTCTTTTTAATGTTGCTTTTTATAGTTCATAATGTGTTAAAATGAACCACAAAAGGTCATGTCAATCAAATATATACTTTTTTTTACTAGCCCTCCAAATATTTGTAATTTTTACGCCCGTCAAACTGTCCTGCGCCCCTAACGCAGTGGAGGGGATCAGAAAAGTGGGAGCAAAGGCCGCCAGTTGGCCATCTCTGATTTAAA